TGTGTGTGTGTGTGTGTGTGTGTGTGTGTGTGTGTGTGCGTGTGTGCGTGTTTAATTAATTGATGAATATAATTGATGAACATCTAAAACTCCTCATTTATTTGTAAACCACGTCCTCATTTCAGTGAAGTGAAATGACCTTCTGTCACGTTTACAGATAATTTCCTTTAGTCTAAATATATGAAAAGGTCCACATCTTTCTCCTTGTCTACTTTTCTGTCTAACCTGAGGCTTTTCTGTCTCTCTGCATCCGCCTGCTTCACTGTCTGCTCCATTTATTCGTTCTTTCTGTCAGTCTTTTCTCTCCTGTCTCCTGGATCTCAAACCAGCTTAAACACATTTGGAGGCAGTCTCTCTGGCCTGCTGTGTACTACTTCAACACACACACAAAGTATGCTCTAACTGTCCAGCAGGTGTATTTTTATAATTGTCTCATGTGCACACATTTACAGTTTACATGACCATGCCTACACGCTCCCCATTATACATGTTTACACCCATGTAGAGTTTTTTTTTTTATATATATATATAGACAGCACACACACACATAAACATTCACTCAGTGGTTCAGCAGAGACGTTAAACTGATGGTGTGTGTAGAGGAGACAGTGCCCCCTGGTGTACAACTACCAGAACTCCCACTCATCCATGTCCTGACCCAATCTGTTTTAGGGCGGGCTTATTTACTCTTCTGGGATTGATTATTTCTGTCTGAAAGAGACAAATCACCAGAATGTGCTTGCACTATGTAATAAAACAACTCTGTAAAGCAGACAGACTCTTAAACTATATGAAAAACACGCTACATAGTTTCAAAAAGTTGTAACACTTTTATTTTTTTATTTTTTATTTTTTTCCTGGAAGTAATTAAGCATTATTGTCTACAATTAATGCTTACTCAAATAACTTACCATGCCAAGTGTTTTTATTGATTAAGTCAACAAGGCACAGCAGTATTTAACTGAAGCAGATCAGTGTATTTGTATGCAACAGTGTCTCATGTAAAAAAAAGTAGTGAACTTTATTTTACTTCATAAATTAGCTTTTCATACATTTAACACAATAATAACTTCTTTTTTTTTTTCACATTTATGCTTTGCGACACATGAACTGGCTTTTTCCCCATTTCCTAACACAAGTGGTTCAAAGCTGGGTTTATTAAGTTTGAATAAATGTTTAGGAATGATACAATTAATTAATGACACTTCATTAGGCGTTATTATCTGATACATCCTCTTTATGAAACACACATTAGAGAAATGTAACAAGCAAGTGCGCAAGCAGGCTTCTTGTAATCAGACCCTTGTTCTCCTTTTAACACGACCTAATTATCCTTATTATCTCGGCTATTTATTGGCATTCCGATGCATGCCAACAGGCCTTATAAATAACAACATGTATCCAATTGTTTGGCGCTGCTGCTCTCCAGACCACACTGCCCGGGAAGAACGAGCATCTCCTCATTCCTGCCATAATTCAGGACGCAGTCCTCACCTCGTGTCCACAGAGTCCATTAACGTAGCATCACACAAATAAAATATCTTTCTGACACGGCCAGACGCGCGCAAAGTGACGCAGCAGCAGGTGAGAGCACAACTGTCAAGTCACCAGCGCGCGCACAGAGTTTGAGTGCGCGCGGACTCTAGTAGTGTTTGTGGTTAACTTGGTGTCTGCCCCTCATAAAGCGACAATTACCAACAGCTTCATGGCTGCTGACGAATGGAGCTGTACAGGGAAGAGCGCGCTTCACGTGCGCGCTAAGTGGTGGGCTTTATAAGAAGCAGAGGGACGCCGGAGCGCGCGCGACCTAAAAGCAGAAGGTTGGTGTGGGGTGCGCGCACGCTGGTCTGTGGAGGCGACATTCTTGGATGTGAAGGCGTGTGTGGAGAGTCGACCCGGTCCATTTCACTCCCCCCTCCGCTCCTGCAGGAGCGCGAGGACGTTGAAGGAGTGACGCAAGTGCAAAACAAGTCAAAGAGAAGTGAAACATTTGTTCACAAAAAGCTCTTCTTCCCACTTTTCTGGATCACCCCCTACAGGTCCAAACTGCTCCTCAATGAACTGATTGCCCTGAACGCAGCACTTTGCAAATCTGCAACAACTCAGGTTGTGCCTTTGACTGGATTATATCAACACTGGATTATATCAACTCTGGATTATATCAACTCCATCGCTCAAGTTCCACTCGTTCTGCTGTTGGTTCTGCTCCGAGGCTCCATGTCTATGGAGGCGCAGAGGGGGCGGGGATGGGATATTCAGATGAGCCCGAGTGACAGCTCCACTTTCCCCCCCACTGCTGTGCGTGCGTGCGTGCGTGTGTTTGTGTGTGTGTCTGTGTGAAAGAGAGAGAGTGTGTGTGTGTGTGCTGAAACTCAGCTGCCTCCTTCCCTCCCAACTCCTCACTTCATAGTGCCGCGCACTAAAAACATCGGACGCTAGGGGATCGAGACGCGCGCCACATTCCCTCTATGTGGCCACTTTAACATCTTTCCGGGGCTTTTTTTTCCCAGTAAGGGGGCTGCGGAGGGAGGCCTTTTTTTTTATTATTTTTTACTGCTTGATGACTGTTTGCACGGCTGATTGTTCAGTCGATTGTTTTTATTTCAGCTGCTGTTCGTTGCCTTCTGCGTTTTCCTTCTCTCTCTCTCTCTCTCCCTGTCCTTCTGATTTGGAAACGGCGACCTATTGCGCGCCCACCAATGTCCTATCCTCAGGGTTACCTCTACCAGCCCCCGGGCTCTCTGGCTCTGTATTCGTGTCCTGCTTACGGGGCCTCGGCTCTGGCTGCTCCGCGGAGCGACGACTTGGCGCGCTCGTCCTCGGGCTCAGCCTTCAGCCCGTACCCGGGCTCCGCTGCTTTCTCCGCCTCGGCTGCCGGCGCAGGCTTCTCCAGTCCACTGCCATACTCTGCGGACCCGTCCACGGGATTCCCGCCCTACATGGTAACGTTTCCTCTGCGTGTTTGTCTCCTCAGAACCGTGCGGTTCGGTGTGTGACGTCTGGAAGTCAGCGCGCTGCTCAGTGTTTGTGTAATCGGTGATCAGTGTTGTGTATTTACGTTAAATGCGCCCCTGCTTTACTTTAAAGACTTTCACCCTCTCGACTCAAACGGGGTTTTTTCACTTTGAGCTGATAATTAGTGGGTTGACCAGCGCTCCCAACTGTGCGCAGCGCGCTCTGCAAACACACCAGGCTCTCCAAGTGCGAGTCCATTCAGGAGAGAAAACTAAAACAAAAGAGAAGAAAGTCTACTCTCTTTCATTTTTATTTTATTAAAATCCAACGAGGAAAGGAGAGAAGGAAGAGGAAGGTGGTTAGACACTTTTTAAAAATTTTTTTATTGCAGCTGAATAAAGTTAATGTTTAGTGTGAGATGCATGACTCGTATGGTGTTAATGTCTCAGGAGGTTTTTAGAAAAGAAAAGAAAATAACACAACTTCATATGAAGTGATGTGCAGTAATGGGATTTGTAATGGTGCGAGCAGAAAGCGGTGGTGCCACCACACAAACCAAACAAAAGCTTCCACTCACAGGAGCAAGTTCAAAGGTGATTAGGCAGAATGAACATTTCTGTCTCGTTATCTTAACTCGTAAATTAACAGGAGCTCTGACGTCATTACCTAATCCGATAATGATCTGAACCATTAGTTAAGCATCAAATCGTGTCTTTTTGCGGCCTGCTCTCACGCGCTGCTTTTACTATAATTACTTGTTTCCTTTTTATTTAACAAAACAAGAAAGCAAACAGTAAGTCATTGCATTTATGTAATGTTTAAAACTGTATTATCCATTTAAAATTGTATTCTATTAAGGAAAATATTAGATTGTATTTTGGTTTTTTTCCAGCACTTGCGACTTTCATCTGTTTGGACACGTTTGTAATAAAAACAACCAAACAGTGACAGCTTCAAGTTAAACCTTCACATGTTACTGTTTAATTAAATCCTAAGCAGGAGCTTATTTCTTATAATTGTTAATGGTGAGCTTTAAAACTTTTTTTTTTTTTTTTAGTTCCTGTTTGTTACTTTTTCACTCAAACCATAACATTTATTTTATTTATTTATTCTGTGATTGATTATTTATTTATTTATTTATTTATTGTTGTGACGAATGTCTTTCTGAGTTCAATTTCTGAGTTGAATAAAAAAAATAAAGAAGTAAGTATTTATTTATCAAGGTGTTTCTGTCCTCAGGCGTCTCCATATGACGCGCACGCCACGGGTATGGCCGGCGCGCTCAGTTACCCCGCAGCCTACGGGAGTCCGGGGTACCCCTTCCAGCTCAACGACCCCGCTTACCGCAAGAACGCCACCAGGGACGCCACGGCCACCCTGAAGGCCTGGCTGCAGGAGCACCGGAAGAACCCGTACCCCACCAAGGGGGAGAAGATCATGCTGGCCATCATCACCAAGATGACCCTGACGCAGGTCTCCACCTGGTTCGCCAACGCCAGGAGGAGGCTCAAGAAGGAGAACAAGGTGACGTGGGCGCCCAGGAGCAAGAGCGAAGACGAGGACGAGGAGGACGCGGACGGAGAGAGGAAGGAGGAGGTGGAGCGCTCCGACAAAACCCTGGATAACAGCGAGGCTTCGGCCGAGGATGAAGGTGGGCTGGATTCTAACGAGCACATCAACATTTAATGCTGGGGGGGGGGGGGGGGGGGGGGGGCTACCGCCCGTTTAATGATGGCTGAACATATTCATAAGCATTAAAACAGAAGGCTGTGTCCCATCTGCAGAGCTGACTTCATAAACTCATAAACAAGGCGCCAAATCTCATTTTTAAATGATTTATGGATGTTTGATTTATTTTAACATGATTGATAACACACCAGTGACCTCAGTAAGTAAACAAGCAAGCCAAATATAATAATTTTCATTAAATAAACAAGCAAATAAATAAATAATTATGAGTGTTGTGCGTGAAATAAGGACAACGTCATTTGTTCAATTATTAAATAAGTGGATTTCTCATTTAAAAATTCATTCGGACTTTATCTAAACCTTTTTTTTTTCTTCTTCTTCTTTCTTTGATATTGATTTGAGACATGGGCCTAAATGTGTTCCAACTGTCTTGTCCCAGGCATCAGCTTGCACGTGGACACCCTGACGGACCACTCGTGCTCGGCGGACTCGGACGGGGAGAAGGTCAGCTGCTCGGCGGAGCTCGGCTCGGACCAAACGGACGACATGTGCGCGCGGGGCGGCGCGGAGCGGCGGCCGCAGCTGTCGCCCAAACCCGTCACGTCGTCGCCTCTCACCGGCGTGGAAGCTCCAGTTTTCGGCCATCTCCACCACCACCACCACCTGCACCCCCTCCACCACCTCCACGCGCAGCGGGAGGACTCAGGGCGGAGCCTGACGCATAGCAGCACCACGAAAACTGACTGCAGGCCTCCCCCCGGAGCCCCCCAGTCCACCCCCCCGGTCAAACCCAAACTGTGGTCTCTGGCGGAGATTGCCACCTCGGACCTAAAGCAGCAGCATCAGCAACAGGGGCCACCCAGCTGCCCCTCCCCCTCCTCCTCCAGCGGCAGACTCCTCACCCCCCCTTCCTCCTCGACCTCTCCAGCAGCCACGTCCCCCTCCCTTTACGCGGCTCCCCACCCCATCCTTGGAAGACCTATTTATTACACGTCTCCCTTTTATAGCAATTACACAAACTATGGCAGCTTCAGCCCCCTGCAGGGCCAGAGCATCCTGAGGTACACGAACTCCTCCGGGGTGAGTCTGGCTGCGGCCGCCGCCGCCGCGGCCGCCGCCGCTGCTGCAAGCGAGGGGCTCAGCTCCTCTCACAGGGCCGCGGAGGCCGGCCCCCACCCCAAACACACGCCGGACTCCCCCCTCGGTAAAAATAACACCAACCACGTTGCTGTCGTCGAGCAGCAGCATTTCAGACCCGCTAATTTAGAAGCAAAAAAAGGTACGTAGAGCGTGACGCACTGAAGGAGAACTCCCCAAACTGTAGCATCCACATGGGGGGGGGGGGGGGGGGGGGGATCTGAATGTGTCTTTATATTTGCCTTGGCTCGAGCTTTTTTTATTTATTTATTCATGCTTCAAACTCACGCGACTTCACTATCAGTTCATTTAAGTGTTTGAATCGGAGGAAAGCACTGAATTATAGAGTTCAGAGCGAGCGCGCGCCCCGTCCTTTAAATCGCAGTCAGCGCAGTTTTAATGTTTGTGTTAAAATGTCGTTACATTTAGAAGAAACGATTTTTTTTTTCCGTCTTAATTTGGATCTGGTTAAGAACAAGACGTGTCATCTGCAGCTTGCCTTAAAATCATCAGAAAACTGCGCCAGGCGCGTGCATGTGAAGGTTATCAGGGACAGGCCTCAGATCGGCCCGCGCACGCACACGCAGTGGCAGCGCCTGAATCCAATAAAGCAGAAAATGTTCCCATCGAACTGAGCAGGAATTCCATTTTTATTGTTGCTTTTTTTTCCCTGCGCGCGCGTGTGTGTGTGTACGCGCGCAGCGGGCCCCACCCCTCATCTTTCAGCTTAGGATAATTATAATTACACAGGGTCAGCCAAAAGCAAACAGATGATTCTGCTCTGAGTCGTGCAACTTCACATCTTCAAACGTCACTTCTTGGTGGTTGAGCTGGTTTTCTCCGTGCACACGTGAACAAAGCTTTGCGTGCGCGCGCGGTCGGTTCGCCTGCAGTTTTTTTTTTTTTTTTTTTTTAGCAGCAGTTATGCAGTGGTGGAAGGTTTTAATTTAATTAAGCGCGTGCAGCTGTAGTTAATACAGCGTGTTTTTTTTTTTTTTCCACGTGGAGACAGCCAGAGTGTCGCAGGACAGAAGCGATCACGCGCTGTTGGGTTGTTGTAGTTCCACTCACTGCAGGTAGGTGTCGCAGTTGAGTGGACTTCATAAAGAACAGGAGGGACTTTAAAAAAAAAAAAAATAAATCCATGGTTTTAACCTTCATGACCTTTTTTTTTTTTTTTTTTTACTCCAAACCGGATGTGTAGTGCCAGCATATTGTCGGGATAAACGCTGCTCCCCCCTCCACAGCCCCACACAGAGACTGTCACACATTTATTTAATTTATTTTTATTCTATTTTATATTTATTTCATCTATTATTGAGGAAAACAGTTTCACGTGCTGGTCTGAACAACTCCCATTAGATGTGATTTACATGTTATTTCTCAGGTTCCTCTTGTTTGCTTATTTGTCACGTTATACAGCATTTATAAATATTATTTGGCTTTATATTTAAGTATGAAAAAAAACAAACAAAATAAAACCATTTGTCCTGAAAGATGTTTTGTAGGAGCCGTGCTGATTTGAAGTGAACTCAAGGACTATAAAGTGGAATAGCCTACATTTGATATTTATTTTTTGAAACGACAGTGGCGGAGCGATGCCTATAATTTATGCAAGTTGTATTGCAAAAGAGGGGGAAATGTTGTTTGTTTTGTAAATATGAAATATATATATATAATATGGTCTTTTTTCCTTACCTTTAAGAGGCATTTGAGGAAAAACAAGCTACCCAATCTTGTTATCAGGAGTACTTTTACGAATTTATATCTCTGGCTGTATAAATAAAATAAAGTAAAATGTGCTGGTAAAGACATCATATACTGGCCGGGTGTTATATCCATTATTACTTAACAGGAAAATATTAAACTCTTTTTCCATTTATGACGTCCATCTTGGTGAGTCCTTCTTTTCTTCCTGACAGGTTTGAAGGGAACTTCACAGCTAACCATTTTCTTTTAGGGCCTGAGTTTTGGTCAAATATTAACGACCTTGATGTGCTTATTCCACCCCCTCCCCCTGTACACACATTTATTTTTCAGTGTGATTAATACAGCCGAGGGAAACAGGGGGCATTATGGGTTCCCAGTGGGCTGTCCCCGGAGCTTTTTAGCCCGGTTCAGTGTGGGTCAGGCCTGCCTGCTTCATTACAGCTGGGCATGGAGCGATCCATAAAAGTCCATGTGAGCATCTGCCAGCTCCAATGGGCTGTGTGATGGGCCCTAATCGGACAGGCTTCCCCTCTGCTTTCCACCACGACTCGTTATTATTGGAGGACACAGCTAATTAAACTGGTTACACCTAAAGATAACTGCTGGGATTATTAACATCATTATTATTTTTTTTTATTATTATAATTTTTTTTTTTAATGTGTTAATTCATTTTTAGTATGACTTTCAGTTTGGGTTTTGGTTGGTAAATATTTTGTATTAAATATATATAAATAAATAAAATAAATCAGTTATTCCAAAAGGAGACCCCCCCCCCCCCCCCATCATTGCTCAAAGCCAGACTCAAAGCTAATCCTTCATTTTCCAGTTGAATTTGAGCTTGAGTGTTGTTCAAATGTCAGGGGACTCCTCCCCCCCCTACACCCCCCATTCAAGGCCTAATGTTTAGCCAGCTGAGAAGCAGTGAAGAGTAAGCCCCCACCTATAAAAAAAAAAAAAAAAAAAAAAGAAATCTATACCACAGCACGTTTGATTGGTCGAAAACATGTGTTTGCCATGAGCTCCTTAAGTTTAGTCTCTTTCAGTGAATTCTTCTTGTTGTGTCCAGCTAATCATTACCAAAGGAACTTCTTGAATGTGAATAAAAGTAAAATAAAATGTAAGTTTCTACACAATTATGCTAACATATCTCAGAAGTAATTTATGTTATTTTATCATGATGATAGGCTGTAAACACAAACTATTTTAAGACGGTTTGCAACTTAACTTTATTATTACTTATTAATTAATTACGAATAGGATGTTTTAATGAAATCAGGCTTGTATGATTTTAATTTGCTTTGATTCTTCCAACAAGTTTGAATCAAGTAACGCAAAATACTTTTTATTCAGCGAAACTTGTGCTTTTTTTCTCTAAAACATTCAACAACCCTCACAATATGATTTTAGTTAAACAACCACGAGTCTTGATAATAAAGTATTAAAAATATAAACATGTAACGCAGAATTATTATTATTTTTTTTATCCAATTGGTTAAAATGTAAACATCAGTCTTGGCAGATTTAGTTAATTGAATTTGAAATGACTTCATCTGGAAACAATGTTGTGAACATTACGAGGAAATGTTCTGCACGTTTGTGAACTGTTCATTCAACAAGTTGATATTTATCTTTAAAATCTAGCTACTCTGTTTCTTACACAAGAGTTTTAAATGGAAATTATATATTTAGTTCAAAATAATAAATACAATTATATTTTAGTTAAAGGAAAAAGTCTTATTTGGTAATTTAAACCAACATAATAAGTAAACAAATAAATATACAAATACATATTATTCTCACTTCCTGTTCAGATCATCATATTTACCCACCTTATTAACATTTAGCTCTCAGGCAGCCACCTATCTGTATATGGAAGTCCTGAACATTATAGCCCCTGGCCAACTTCTTCTTTCTCAGAGCAAACACTTTCATTAGGAGCTGATTTATTGAAATGCATGCTTTATTCTCAGGTGGGCTCCCCCAGGGACTCGGCAGCGTTGTCAAATAGCACCAGAGGCAGTCTCCGAAGCTCACGGGGCCCCCTCTGCCTCGCATTCGCTCGTTTTCTCTCACCTGCTGCTGCTCCCTATAAATGTCAACATTTGTTCTCAATAAAAAGAGTTATTGTTTCTGAGGAAAAAAAAAAAAACGCTCTGCAACCAGTCACCTTTGAACACATGAAAAGAAACTTCCACCCCGCCTCTGTGTTTGATTGAGAGCAATGGCAAGCGAAAATAGGAACAAGGCAGCAATTGCACATGACAAAGCTCAAGCTGTGCGGCCCGTTATGAAATGATTGTGAATTTATGCCACAATTAGTCACAACTGTGGAGAGAGATTTCCGTGCCTTTGAAGAAGCTGCTCTTTGGCTCACGTTCATTAAAGCGGTTGCAGAGGACTCCAGCTTGCCCTTGACATAACCTGGATATTGATTCTCAAGGGTGAAACAGACTATTTACCATGTTACAGAGCCAGCTACTAAGCCTGTGTTTCAGAGCGCGATGACAAAGTAAATGTATCTAGATATTCCTAATTCCACACACTGCATATCAATTACAGTCATAATCCCACCACGGAGCTCGGCATTGAGCAAGGACTAGTCGTCATTGAGAGGTAAATTGATGGTATCGTGGAGCTCACAGGCTTCAGCTGAGCACAGACTAAAGAGCAAGTGGAATCATCCCTCTTATCTTTGATCAAATAAGCAGCTCGCATATGGAGATAATTCATGAAGCTCTTTTATCCTCCTATCAAGCCAATCTTCTACAAAATGCTTCAGTCATCTCTCTGATGCACACCTGCTGAAACCAGTTTTATTGGGGCAAGAAATGCTTTTTTTGAGCTGTAACCACTTGTAGCCACATTAGAGGGAGGATGTATAAAACAGTTGGAGCAGGGATGAATTAGTTACAGCTGTCAGAAAAAATGTATTTTAAAAGTCAACTTGCCTATCAGTTGACAGTCTATGGGCAATCTGATTCATGGGCAATCTCAACCAGGATTATTTAGCATTTCCTATTTACTTTAATCTGCTATATCTTGTTCCACTCCTGTGTCTGATAATCAAAACATGCAGTCAAATGAATAGTTCAGATTGTTTGATGTGTGGATTACCTGTTGTCAAAAGCTCCTTGAACAAACTGAGTTTGGAGATACAGACTTTATGGACTTGTCAAACAAATGGCCAGTCTGAGCGAGGCCAAGACCAACGTGAATTACCGTCGTTTAAAACAAATCAAGTCTGTAAACGTTATTTATCAGTTTGTGCAAACGTCTTTTTGTAATGCAGCAGACGTCAGTTATGATCTTGGCCCTTCTTGGACTTGCCATGTCTGTCATGAAACCGTGTTGCTCCAAACTGAAAGCATTCAAAGAGCTATCTACGACAGGTAAGATATTTGCTCATACGTATTAAAAACAGCACTTTAAAATATTTGAA